TTTTTTTTTTTTTTTTTTTTGTTTTTTTGGTACCAGCTGTTAAACTTGGGACCTTGTGCTTAGGAGACAGGCAGCAGAGCTAAGTCCTTGGACCATTTTTTTGTTTTTTGCTTATTTATTGGTACATTTTAGGTATGCAGTATGATGACATTCATCATTGGAAATTTGTACCTTTGCATGGTATGTCTTGGTTCTTATTTTTTTGCCCTATTCCCCTGCCCTCCCTCAAACCCCTCCACCCTCCCTATTTACAAAGACTTTTGTTTCCATTTTTTCCTTTTTTCATATTTATTTCTTTCCCTTCTTTCCTTAGAGTTTTTAGTTAACTTCTACAGAAGACTTTAGGACAGCCATGCTTAAAGAGGATGCATGATCTGTAAAAGAGCAGGGAAAAGGTGGCTTGAGATACTGCTGCAAGCAGCTAGGATTGCTGAGATGAGTCCCTTGGTTGTGGTATACAGGGTGCCACTGTTTTCTATGCAGAAACTGACTGCCAGAAGTCTGCCATACAGTTGGGAAGGTGTTTTTCTTACTTTACTGAACAGATGATCTAAACCTCAGTGTTTTCCTTTTAACTTTTTATGTTAGAAAGTAGGCTATTAAATGGTTCTTATCTAGACCTTATTGGAGTAGGCCTCATTCATCATTCTTGTTTTTAATGTCCCTGTTGCTACCTGTCCTCCTGTTTTGAAATAAAATTCATGCCTCTTTATCTGCCTCCCACATGGGTGCAACTTTTTTCTTCATCTTTATATATTCCTTATAGATATCAGTTAGTTTTATTTTTCTTCACTTTGCTTGTTTACCTTAAGAGGCATTTTCTCCAACAGATACGGGTTTAGAATGTCCAGTATGTAAAGAAGATTATACAGTTGAAGAGGAAGTCCGGCAGTTACCCTGCAATCACTTCTTTCACAGCAGTTGTATTGTGCCATGGTTAGAACTGGTGAGTATAAGCCAGCTGTTGTCTGTGATGAGGCAACTGTACAATTCACATCTTTGGGGGAGATGATTCAGAGTAGAAATGTAGCTATCAGTTTGTAGATCGCAAAATAGATCAGGTTTTGGTCTCAAGTCCCTGGCAAATTTCTGCTACCACCATCAATGTTTCATCAGATTACTATCTCTTTGGAATTTTTCTGACCAGAGATTGGCAACTATAGCCCGCAGGCTGCAGTGGCCTACATCTGTTTCGTAAATCAAATTTTATTGGGACATACCTATGCTCATTTGTTTATAAAATGTGTGTGGCTACTTTTGTGTTACATGGGCAGAGTTGAGTAGTTGGAACAGAATTGGTGTGTTCTATAAAACCAAAAGCATTTACTTCCTGTCCTTTTAAAGAAAAAAATTTGCTGACTCCTTTTGACCACATGGAGAGGTGGTGGTCAGTTAGCCGCCTGTCACATCTCAGATTGTTGTTTCTAGTTAGTTGTATTTGCTAGTATGTGTTAGTTGTTAATTTGTTTGCCTAGAATTCTTTCTGTCTCTTCATCTTAAGTTCTGTTTGGGAGCCCAGTATGTGCTGTGTAGGGATGTGTGAGCTTTTAGTCAAATTGTCCAGACAGACTTTTGGGTGTGCTAACTTCAAGAGTGTCTTATGTGTTCAGTATCCCTAGCTTCTCAGGTCAGAGCGTTCACATGGATTAATCTCTTTCTGTTTCAGCACGATACATGTCCTGTATGTAGGAAGAGCTTAAATGGTGAGGACTCTACTCGGCAAACCCAGAGCTCTGGGGCTTCTGCAAGCAACAGATTTAGCAGTGACAGCCAGCTACATGACCGATGGACTTTCTGAAACTAAAGACCACACCTGAAATAGTCTTCTTACCATAGATGTAAATTGTATCAAAACAAAAAAATAGTAGATAGATTTAGGAATCACATTAAGAAACCCCAACCCATAATGTTAATGCAAGGAGTGTTTTTCTTCTCTAAGTTTAAAATTAGTATCTATAAAGGGAATTGTATCTACAGCCAGATTCCTCTTATTCCTGAATTCAGAGTGATAATTTTATAAGTGTGAAACTTAAGTACAGTGTGTGGATTTTCCCCTGTCTGAATAGAATGAATTCCTTGAAGTCTCGCTAGGGTTCTGCTGTATGTCATGTTGCTCTGTTATGGATATTTCCACCTCCTTCTCCAGCCTCTGTCCCACCATTAGTGTATTTAAATTGCAGTAAATGCAGAGGAACCACAGTCCTAAAATCCTGATGATATAAGGTCCTTTTGTCTTAGTTGTGCAAAAGCATCTACTTTTGTCCATATAAGCAATGAAGTAAGGTCTGATTAATTCAGGATTTTGAGATTGATGATTTTATTTTGTCTCAGTCTCATAAAGCAAATGAAAAAAAAAAATCACACTAGCAAGGAACAGGTGGCCTATCATCATACACCTTGGTGTGCCCTTTCTGCAGAGACGAACGAGGCATGTCTTGAGAGTCTTATATTGGGAGAAATCTAATACTGGTTCCTTTTTGGTAATGAATGTCTTGTTAAGACACAGAAAGGTTGGTTATGATGGTGCCACCTGTAATCCTAGCACCTGGGAGGTGCAGGCAGGAGCGCCATGAGTTAGAGGCCAGTCTGGGCTACATTGTGAAACTGTCTTGGGGGAAAAAACAAAGACACACAGATATTTGAAATCTCTAGTTTTGAGATTTTTGAAAACGATACCCAACTCGTTCACTATCTCTTGCTCTAGCAACCTTAAAATAGTTTCTTTTATAAAAGTAGGATTACGTCATTACTATTTCCACAGCCAATTCACTGGTTTTAGTAATTCATTATTCATTAGGAATTGAAATTTTACATTGTTTCAGTTTTTAAAGCCCATTTTTCATCTCTGAAACTTTCTGATCTGCTTTGCTCTGCGTATACTAGGAGTCAGACCAATTAATATGATCATGCCAAGAACAACTAGGCCTGGAAGAGGTAGGCCTTACTTTTTCAGCCTAACACTGTCCCATACATATGTTCTTTTGAATGTTTAAAGTTGAATAAATGAAGAATGTTAAAAAATGTTGTTTGAACTTCAAAGTCTCAAAAAGATACAATAGGGTCATATAATAGCTGCTGGTATGCTAAAAAGCATGTTAAAGAGGTGTAGAAAGTGGCAAAATTTGTAGGGTCATACCAGCCATTCATAGTTTAGAGAAGATCACCACTCATAGGTAAGTCTTTCTTGACTAAGAGTCTTTCCTTGGTTTTTGTTGAGTGTCACAGACTAATTTGGGGGTGAGGAAAAGCATTAAGATATCTTTGTTTGGGCTGGGAATTTAGCTCAGTGGTTCTGTGCCTGCTTCGCAAGCTCAAGGTCCCAGGTTCAATCCCTGGTATACCAAAAAAAAAAAAAAAAAGATATCTTTGTCCTTACTTTGATAAATGATGAAATAATTGGGGGGCCAGGGATTTAGCTCAGTGGGTCCATCACCTGCCTCAAGCACAAGTACCCAAGTTCAATCCCTGGTGCCCCCCCCCAAAAAAAGAATTGGGGAGGGAAGAGAACAAGTTAGAGTAGTCTGCCAAAGTAATAGCTTGCCTCTAAAAGTTGTGAACCAGAAGCTTTGATTTGGATTGGGAATCCGAATTCCCCAGGGGGAAGAAAAGATGTTATATACTGTACCTCTCATATTGCACCTCTGCTTCTCTGGGGGTGATCTGTTTGTTGTAGTTAGCTCATGCAAGGTGGCCTGAAAATACACATTGGTTTTGGATTGGGGATGATGAGGGATGGGGGATGTGAAAGTTACATATTTGAGCACTTTAGACGGGAGAGAGCTGTGTGGAATTGAAGGACATTTCAGTTTTCAAGCAGAGCACATTGCAGTTATCATCTGTGTCAGAAATTTTGACACCTTCAAAATAAAATTATAATGAAAAGAGAAAACTTTTGACACATTGGAAATTTTATCTGCCTGTTAGTATTTCTGGAGATGCCAGGACAGGCAGTTTTAGAAAGGATCTGAGGTATTTTACAAAGGATGGAAAACAGTGCTAGACAGGGATCTTCCTTCTTAATATACAGTATAGCAAGGAGCATCAGACTAAATTTTTTGAACTTTTTTTTCACTTTTTTTGCTGTGATAGAAGTTATGTGGCTTATCTTGCTTTTTCCCAGACTTGTCCCACCACGGAGCTGAATCCCTGGCCCCAGGTTAATTTATGTTAAGGAGTTAGAGTTCTTTAGAGAAACAGGATATAATATAGAAAGAGATTTATTGTACAGTTTTGGCTGTTGCAGTTATGAGATGAGAAGTCCTTAAGATCTGCACTGGGCCAGCAAAAGATCCAGGAGAGTAATTAGTGTCGTTCCAGTCCAAGTCTTAAGGCCTGAGTACTGAGACAGTCAATGGCTTAGGTTCCACTTTGAAAGCAAGCAGGCTTGAGACCCAAGGAGAGCTGGTATTTCAATTCTGATCCAAAAAATAGGAAACACTGATGCCCTGGCTTAAGCACTTGGGCAGGAAGAGTTCCCTCTTACTTGAAATAAGTCATCTTTTTTTTTTTTTTCTTCATCTTTTATTCTATTCAGGACTATTTGGACTGATTGGATGAGGACTCACCCCCCATATGCTATGGATAGCAATCTGCTGTGTTCCATATATGTACTCTGGTGTTAATGTCACCCAAGAACACCCCACAGACACAGCCAGAGTAATTAATATTTGACCAAATACCAGGCATCCTGAAGCCTAGTCAAGGTGATATGTAAAATTAACCACCAGGAGGAGGAAAAATAGAAATAATGCACAGAGTAATGCTCATCTACTTGAGTTTTGCTGAGTGAGCAGTCTTCCTTGGCTTAGAGGCCTTAGTGGTATGATATGTAATGGGTCCATAATTTCTCTTTTTCCCCCTAATCTAAATCAATCTGGAAGTCTGAAATGCCTTCCATTCTAGGGGTGATTTTAAATTCATTAGTCTAACACCAGAAATGCGGCTGGGGTTATGAGTTTATTTCTCAGTTGTGTGCAGTGGTACACGCCTGTAATTCTAGTACTTTAGGAAGCTGAGACAGAAGGATTTCAAATTCCAGTCACATTTGGGAAAATAGTATTATTTTTTTAATAAAAATAAATTTTTATTTATCTCAAAATGAAAGGGATTGGGTATATGGCTCAGTGCAGAGGCTATGGATTCAGTCCCTAGTACAGAGGTAGGATTGGAGTAGGGTTAGGGGATTTATTATTTCATGGAATATTTTACCCTTACATATTTTAGCTTATGACAGAAGGCTAGATAACCTGGGATTTTCAGGTATCTATTTTTTCTACAGCTGTAAGACATATTCTTAGGACTTTGGATATTTTATAGGGGTCAAGGGAGAGGTGCCTACACAAGCTCTTTCAGTCTACTTTCTCTGATTGTCAAAGAGAAGAAAACTATTGTAATTTTAGATCAAGTCCTTAGTGAGAACTTGAGACCTTTACATTTACATTAAATAGCCTACCCTTTGAATTCCGTGCAGAGCTTAATAGATGGTTTTCTTATTCTGCTTGTCTTTTATCCAATATAACTTCTCTTATCCTACATATATATGGATTAAGTAGATATTCCTTTCTGTATGTTGCAACTTGAGGGAAGAAAATTGATTCAAACATAATTAGGAAAGATTTCCTAGAGATTGGTAGTCTTGGAAAGTTGAGAGATCACATAGGTCAGTGCCTTGTTGATATTGTTGACCAGTGATTGTTGCTTCTCAGATAGTTTCTAGATAGGTTAACCCCTTTTCATATGTGTTATTTTGCTGGATAAAAAAAGACTGTTTGGAAAGAGCAGAGATGAACATTTAGCTGCTAACTCCAACATCTTTAAAGTTTCAGAACTAATGGATTGGAAGAAGAAATGATTATGACATTAGAAATATAATATTAACACCGGTGGCACACACCTATAATCTCAGTATGCAGGAGACTGAGGCAGGAAGAGTGCCACAAGTTTGAGGCCAGCATGAACTACATAGCAAAACTTTGTCTCAAAAAAGGGAAGAAATTAATATTTTCTCAGAATTCCTATTGCCAGTTCTCTGGAATTGAAATATATGGAGACTCCAGAATGATGATATACTATCCCTGCTGCTATATAGCTTCTTGACTCTTTTCTTATAATGTTTGTAATAAAAGTCATTACCTTAGGCTGAGAATGTAGAATTGGATATTAAATTGATCCCTTAGCTCATTATTTATCAATATTTGCTGCAGAACAGTTGGGCACGTGCTTCATAAATGTTTTCTTTGAGCAGTAGTATGGTCCAAAATTGGTTCTCAAGTTAGAAGGAAGTTTTGGGGGAAAACTTGTTCTATGGCCCTAGCAAGTCTCATTTCGATTAAATGGCTATTAGAGGGAAAATTTCTTGTTTGTGCCTGTGTATTGCAACATATATACACTTATCTGCATGTATGTACATTATTTGCACTTGTGTATATCTACATGATGCATATACTTGGAGACAGGAGTATATACACATTTCACCCTGGAAGACAAAGAGATAATGGTGGGTGCTGAGGAAAAGTGAGCAGTGATACAGAAGACAAGTGTAGCCTCATAGTATGCTTCTCTCATTTCTGTACCACCTGGCCCTGGTTCTGATAAGTTCTCTTTTTCAAAGACACATTAGTTTGATGAGGTACTTTGTTACCTGATCTGTAGCAGAGATTCACTAGAAGTAAAACCTAGTCTTTCCAAGAAATAAAAATACATAACTTTGAGGAAAGGGCATTTATTATCCATTGCTCCTATATCATATAGTCAGTTGAACCCAAGTATTACCTTGAATTTTAAATTTTTATTTATTCATTTTTGTTGGGGCTGGATATTGAACCCAGAGCCTGACATATATCAAATATGCATTTTACCACTGAGCTGCATCTTCAGCCCTAAAGAATTTCTTGATAAATTATTGATGCCAAATTGAGTATCTCATGACCTTCTTTATGCCTCAGTTTCTCCCTTTTTTCTGGGAGCTCTTCCCTCCAGGAATATAAATCAAATATATCAGCTTTAAGAAATTTAAATCAAGCTGAGCATGATGGTGCACGCCTGTAATCCTAGCAGTTGGGAGGCTGAGGCAGGAGGATCACTGTGAGTTTGAGACCAGCTACACAATGAGTTCCAGGTCAGTCTCAACTACATAGTGAGACCCTGTCTCAAAACAAACAAACAAACAAAAAAAAACAAAGAGAAAGAAAAAGAAATTTAAATCAGAAGAGCATTGTCTGTGTGTTTAAGTCATAACAAAACAGCCCTTAGAGTTTCAGAGGTGAGAGGCACTTTATTTTTATTTTGGTACGGGGGATTGAACTCGGGTCCTTGCACTTGCAAGGCAGGCCACTGAACCAGTGAGCTAAATCCCTGGCCTTGAGAGGCACTTTAGAGTTGGTTGCCAGATCTGATATAGGCAGGCCCTGGACATCTGTGAAGAAAGATAAATTTTAGGAGGGGAAGAAGTAGGATTTTTATTCAACTCTTAGATGTAAGGGGGAAAAGCCCTTTTTGCCCTTTATCATAGATGGACAGAGAAAAGATCTTGTGTGCAAGAATAATCCAGTGGAGATGAGTTGAAAATGACTGACTAGTAGGTGGGAAAGAGCACTCTTACTGAGTTTCCAAAATTAATGTTATAGGTTCTGACACAGAGAGTTGGGGTGAAGGGGTTGTTGATGGGATAAACGTACCACAAACGGTTGTCCTGTGGGGGAAATTCTAGTTTGCAATAATGTCAGTGTTTTCATCGCTCAAGTCTTGGAGCCACAGGAATGCTCCAAGGATTTAAACTGAGAACAGAACACAGTGCGTACATTTGGAGATACTTTGCAGGATCAAGATAGAGCCCTTGATTGATCCAAAGGTCATGGGTTTTTTACCTTTTATACCTGTCACAGATGATGAATTACAGGCATTCAACTTTAGAGTTGTTTTTTTTTTCATAGCTGGCAAATTAGAAAGTGTCCATAGAAGTGGAATCTGTGTGCGTCCTCTCCTCCTTAAACTAGGACACTTACATCTATGACTCATAGGAT